TAGGATCATCTTCTTTTAATGTTCTTAATATCTTTAAAAGGTTAGATGCATCATTTTCAGGATCTTGTTCTGGATCCGTTATGTCATCCTTTCGAAATTGTTGAATCACATTGGTTAAATCTTTGTCTAAAAACAATTGATCCTTAAATTTGCCTTCTAAAAGTTGCCTTAATGTATGCTAACTAATGCCAGAAACTGTATTTATATAAAATTCAATCTTATCAATTATATTTTGAAAGAGCTGCTGATATGTATTAATAAAGTATGCACTATTAGGACAAGGTGTATGACCATAGTGGATAAGATTTAATTTAGTAATTGATGGACCCGGCGAACTTAATAACCAACAAATATTAATAAAGCATGTGCAATTCATCTTTATAGACTTTCGATTGCACTGTTGTAAAGGTTCAATTGCCTTTTTTTTTAGTTTGAGGGCTTTTTGCATGCCAACATTTAAATACATACTTATAAACTTCTCCATTTTTGTCAAGCTTTCTATCCTGGATTCGCCATGCAAAACCTGTCTTTTGTCCATATGCTAATAAGACTAAATTTACATGTTCTTAGTGGTTAAATTGTAATCCAATATATAAGTTTAATGCTTGTTCAAAAGTGGTACTAGGTATTGATAATGTTTCATGTGGATGCCTCTTGGATATTCCATTATGGGTAATTGAAATGGTAGGCATTTGTTGAGAAAAAAGATCACTAGGAGTTTCTATACTAGCAACCTCATTAACTTTATTTTGGCTTGACTAAAAGCTTGGTAAGTATAAGGCATATAAAATAATAAACATTATAGTAAAAATTATTAATATATACTTGCTGGAAAAAAAGGTCACTTGAAGCCTCTTCTTGACTATCAATTTCAATATAATTTTCATCAACATCGCTTTGGCTCATCTAAAAGGTTTAGGTAAGTATAAAATGCATATAATATAATTACTAAGTATAATATGATACTTACTGTCAACAACATTTGGTGGTGGGCAATGTCTGGTGGTAGGCAGTATCTGGTGATGAGCAATGTCTGGTGGTAGGCAATCTCAATGTCTTGTAGTGGGCAATGGCAACATTCTTTGGCTGTGAACTTCTTGTGTGGGCAACTTATGATGGGTAACTTTGTGTGTTTATTACTCTTGTAATATATTAGTTTGATTAAAAATGAGAAAGCAAAAGCTTTAATTAAAACAAATGTAAAAGTGACAAAGTTTACAATAGCCAATAGTACAATAGAAAAAAAGTGATAATGATAATTTGTAGTAAAAGTCATATGAATACACAGTGGGATGACATATCACAAGATCAGTCTGGATGATTTATATATTAATTCTTTTTTATATTAGAATATTATATTTATTAGTTAGATATTGATACTTTATTAGTTTATATTTATATAATATACTTATTTTTATAGTTTAGTTTTCTTCTAGGCCTAAAGTAAATAAATGTCTAAGACTGCATAGAGTGAGACTAGAGCTTTATACAGTTTTATAATTATATTTAATTCTCTTTTCTATTAAGACAAATCTGACATTAGAAAATATTCAATATAGATAGTTAGTATTCTAGTAACTTAGTTAAAAATAGAAATTATTACTTATTGCAACTTTAAGCACTTTTTGAAAACAGCAATTTTTTTTACAAATTTTACAAGT